TAACAGTGGGAGCTCACCCCGCTCCCTGGATTTGAACTGGTGACCTTTCGCTCAGCAAGTTTAACCCACTGCACCACCGTTCATATCATACATTTTCCCATAAATAGATTTTTTAATCTACTTCTTTCCATCCTATTGATGAGGAAACACAACTTTGGTAAGTTAATGTAAAAATGATTTAAACAGAATTTTCACCCAGTTGGCCTGGACAAATTCTAAGGTGTTTTCTCTCATATGCTTTCTTCCTATGCATTTGCTTTTTCCCACATTCATTTCCCCTGCAAAATAAAATTAAATAAATCTGAAGTTTTTTCTAACGCATGCATAAGATACAATTAATTTGTTTGATTCTTATATTTGAAAAGTCCAGTATTTAAAAAATAAATGGCCTGAATCCCATGACTGGAGAAAAGTGGAATATAAATTAAACAAACTAAATTAAACTAAACTCATCTTCATTCCAAAACTGCAGGATAACAAAATTTCAGCTTAAGGCAAGCATCTGTCAGATGACTCCCTCCAGCTATATGGAAACTACTGTAATTGCTTAGCAACATTCTTCTTCCTGATAGCTTTTGCTTGGATGGACTGCAATGTTTGATGTTTGAGTTTTAAGAAGTGAAAAGTATGCTTGGGATAGAGACAGAAAAAAATAGTCAGCAATATTGGGAAAATGGTCTCAAAATGGATTCCTTAGAGTCAAAATTCTAGATAGGATAACAGGATCCCCAAATTATATCACAGGATCCTGGAAAGTTAATCTACCAGAGATATGATTTATGACAAAATGATAGATTTTTTGATTATGAAGAAGACAGCAGAGACAGGGTAGGAAATGTTAATTAGGGCTTCCTATTTTCCATTTCTCAACTTTTCTATCGTCTTTGTTTCAAAACACTGTACACTCACTATTCTATCCTTGTGTATCAAATTTAAAAGAATGTTTCTTTTTTCTCTTTTCTTTTATAACATCATATAAACCTTTTTTTTGTTTTATATCCACTCTTGTACCCTTCCTCATTCCTCATACCTCAATAAAAATTGTATGAAAAAATTCAAGATATGCAGGAATCTTATTCTACAACAAAAATGCATTTTCTGTGTAGGAACAAATTTCTTGCCAATAAAATGTTTTCTGTGCAGAAAAAGTTTCTTGCATCGGCAGTGTGGTATTTTGTGCAAGTAACTTGTTTTCTACACACAAATGTTATTTTCTGTGTAGAAAATTAAAAAAGAGAGTAGATTGTACATAATAAATTCTGAATGACAAATAGTTTTTGAAAACTGCCTAGTTTCCAATGACATTTTCACTATGTGGAGAACTTTGGTGTATTATTGAGTCTTGCCTGTGAACATGAAATTTGTGAAGACTAACACTCTCATTTGGGAATCATGGTATTTCATATGGATTTTAATTCAGGAGGTCTATCCAAATATAGAAGTCTTTGTGACACAGAGATCACAATAGAACACAAGGGGTAGAGAAACAATGTCCACTCATCCCAGGGCTGATCTAGACTGGTGAACACCAGATCAGCCCTGGGACAGTTTAGACTATCAGCTCCCTGGCTGATGTGGAGGTGGGACTGTCCAATGTATTTTGGAACCACCAGAGGGTCATCTTTTCTGTCCCCTCCTGTGACCCACTTTGCATTGGCTAGTTCATGCAATATTCAGATTCAAGTAGCAGAGTGATGAGGGAGGAAAGAGAGAAGGGATTGCCCTCTCCTCCTCCTACTTCTCTAGTCATCTCATCACTCTGACCAGTATCACACCAGGCAGCAAGCAACCTTCACTAGTCATGTCACACTTGTTGGCCATTGATGACTGCCACTCCATGTTCCAAGGCATTTTAAGCCTTGGGAACATGGGATAGTCATGCAAACAGTTGCAGCTGATTCTGTCTTGGAACAAGTTCAATTGTTTATATGGGCCCAGTCTCACAGTTTGCTCTATCAGTGGGTGTTGACTCGTGGGTCCCCAGATGTTTTGGCCTTTAACTCTCAGAAATCCTAACAGCAGTAAACTGGTTGGGATTTCTGAGCATTGTAGGCCAAAACACCTGGGGACCCACAGGTTGAGAACCACTGCTCTAGATTCTTGGGGAAGAAACTTAAAACTTTGTTTAATGTGGTTCAAGGTCATGTTAAGTAACTGTGTTTAATCAGCACAAAGCTGATTTGCCTGCCAGTTATCAGTAATCAGATGTGCCCCAGGGAGCTGTGTTGTCCTTTTGTGACTGTAATGCTTGAATACGGCTACAAGGCACCTTCCTTTTAGCAGCTGCCTAAGGTAACAGCAAAACTTTATATGGGTTTAAGGAGGCATAATTTCCTCTGAGACATATAGAGTAATTATATCAGGCTTCACTTGCATCTTAGATATTTCTTGGTGATTATTTTAAGAATTGCAGTTTTTCAGTGTATTATAAAGTATTGAGTCCAGAAAAGCAATACAGATTGTTTTCTTTTTTTAGCATATCTGTTGAGTTCATGCATATCTGGGATGTGGAAGGAATATAACCATATTTTAATGATAGACAACATAGTTAATAGAAGACACCAAATTCAGTCCCTGATATTCCCAGTTCAAAGGATCAAGTAGTAATAAAGCTATAGTAGAAATGCTTTGCCAGGAAACCTAGAATACTGTTACCAGGTGAAGTCAAAATACATCATTAGATAGATAAATATTCTGACCTAGAATAATCAGTTTCTTATTTTGTACTTGGCTCTATGCCAGTTCTTTTAGCACTGCAGATTAATATGTGAGAAGTGGAGGGAAAGAGAAATTTCTTTTCTGGAGTACAAGTCACAGAATTTTCCTATAGAGATTCTACATGAGGGATTCTGGGATATTTCATCCAAACAGTAAATTCCTCAAGCTTTGTGGAGTTGGGAAGGTGGAAGTGTAGAACTTTACAATAAGGGATGGTAAATTATTTTGAGTAATGAGTAATTCTAATAATTTTCTTCCAACTGTGAAACAGGCTTTAAAAACCATGTAGGGTGGCTGACAACAATTTCCAATCTATGTAGCATTTTCCTACCCACAAAATAATCACATAGTTTTATTTTGCAAAACTATTATTTTCTGTGCAAAAAATCCCATTCCTTGCATAGAAAATGCTGTAGTTGGGGGTTTCTGCAATGCAAACCTTTTTACACAGAAATTTTATTTTCTGCACAGAAAACATTGGGGTGGGGGGGGGGGGAAGAGACTCACACAAATTTTGAGCAGAATGTCTTAAAATTCAAAGCTCTTCTGCAGTTCAAAGATTCTCCTCTCTGGGGCATCCTAACAGTAAAAAAACATATTTTCCAACCCTTCTTTGAATATTCCAATATTCTTTCCATCACTTTTTCAACCACCTATCTCCCAATGCACCTAATTCCAGCCAAAGTATGGTCAATAGCTAAATTGTTTCTGGCTGCAAGGTCTCCGCAGTGCTTTCAGAAAAGTTAATGTACCAGATTGAATTTGAAATAACAGATGATAGAGACTTAAACCTCTAATTAGCAGTGTATTTTTATCCACTCATATATTTAAGGAGAATGAAGTGTATAACCTGTCAATAACACAGTAGCATTAATCCTTTATATTTTTTCAGAGTGCTTGCCAACTATCTAGATGCCTCCAGCAATTCTTTGGAACACGATTAATCTTCACTTTTCTCTCCCCACTGGCACAGCCTCTTCCAAAGTATTTATTCGGGGTGAGGGAAGAGACTTTAATTCTTTCCAGGTTCATATGAGATTTTTTTTTGAACTTTCCACGTTGTCTGGGCACATCTTAGTCATGCAGATTTGAAGGAACCTTGGCAATGTGTTGTTTGAAGGAGTGAAAAATTATCGTGGGGTTGAAAACAGTATGAAATAATACAAGTAGCTTGGTGAACTAGAATATAAAGTTCACAAATAGCATTTCAAAATCTTTGGGTGTTTCTCCCTCTTCTGATACAGTGGTTTGAAATCAAGTTTCAAATCCTTGATTAGCCATGGAAAGCCACTATTTGACATTGGGCACATTAGATTAAATAACTTGATAAAGATAAAGCAACCCTCCCCTAATAAAACTTTGCCAATAATACCCGACAAGAGGGTCATCATAACTTGGAATGAATTGCACATACAAAATGTTATAGTCACATGATGAAAAGAACTTGAAAAACACTGGAACACTGAAGTAAGCAGATCTAATGAAAAGATCTCATCCAGACCTTATTTATGATCTCTCCCATTTCATATATCCATGTTTAGATACAAAATCAAAATTAGGTCCTTGTGGTTTTTTCGGGCTATATGGCCATGTTCTCGGGGCATTCTCTCCTGATGTTTCGCCCGCATCTATGGCAAGCATCCTCAGAGGTAATGAGGTCTCATTACCTCTGAGGATGCTTGCCATAGATGCGGGCGAAACGTCAGGGGAGAATGCCTCGAGAACATGGCCATATAGCCCGAAAAAAACCCACAAGAACCTAGTGATTCCAGCCATGAAAGTCTTCGACAATACAAAATCAAAATTTGTTTTAAGCTAAAACAGAAAACTGGCAAACACAGTGTTTGGACATTATCACACATGCCATTGGAACTGGCCAGTATTGCCTCATTCTGGTGGTGTCCACCTAGGGGAGGGGGGGATCTGTCACCCATGCCCCACACTGTCCCAGCTTCCTCCTACCTTATCATGTTGGGAGAATCCTGTTTAAGCTGGCTCAACCTATCTTTCCGTATGGAAGGTCGGGAGCCTCCCGTTACCCACTACCAGCATTTTTTTTTTGCCAGCAGCAGAGAGTTTTTTTCTTTCAGTTTAGCCATAGAGTCATTGTGAAAGTACTTTTCCAGCATATGACAGGAGCCATCGGGTTCCGTGGCTGAACTAAAAAATACCTCTGCTGCTGCCACCAGAATCAAGCCCAAGGTCCTTTGTCTATACTCAATAGGAGTAGAAAGAAAATGCATTGCTTTCTCGTTTCTTTATGGAAAAACCTGTTTTTATTTCTCTAGAAATTTGCCTCAGCTGTGCTGAGACATATGATGTACTTCCAAAAGAGAAAAATGCATCCATATTTGGATTTCATCAATACACATGATTAATTTTTTTTTAAAAAAAAAACATACAGTATCTTCCGGCATATAAGAAGACTGGGCATATAAGACAACCCCCAACTTTTCCAGTTAAAATATAGAGTTTGGGATATACTCACCGTGTAAGACTACCCCTCTTTGCACCTGTGCACCTGCACCACTTCACTGCAGTCTTCAGGAGCGAGATCTGAGAGGCAGAGGAGGAGGTATTTTAATAGGATACAAGGGCGGGCCAGACCGGTAAAAGAGTTGTGTTTTTCTGGGCCCAGAGCCATTCTATCTCTTTTATCCATACCTCGGGCACCCCGGACACCTGCAGCTTGCTCCGCCCTTCACTTACACCTTCCCGGTGAGGCGCCCCTTCACCTCACCATTGGGACCGCATTAAGTCCACAAATTCTGATGAATGGATTTTCGTCTACCGTACTTGTACAGCATCACCCTTAATACTTTCATACAGTTGCTGCATATGGCAGGGACGCAGCCACTGCCATTTTTGAGCTCCCCCCACAATATGCAGCAACCACAGATTCTCCAATCCGGATTGGAAGTTTCAGCACCCACTCTATAAGATGACTCCCAGTGTATAAGACTTCTCCTGCATATAAGATGACTCCCATGCATAAGGCTACTCCAGCGTATAAGACAACTCCTGTGTATAAGATTACTCCTGCATATAAGAAGACTCCCGCGTATAAGACAACCCCTGACTTTTGAGAAGTTTTCCTTGAGTTAAAAAGTAGTTTTATATGCCAGAATATACAGTATATATGGTTTCATATAGGTAGCTTTTTATACAAATAATAATCTGTGTAGATCATTTATGCTGCAAAATAGAGACTAGCTGCAACTCTGGATAGATCTACAATGTAGAATTAATGCAGTTTGACAACACCTTAACTGCCATGGCAAAGTGCTACGGAATCCTGGGTAAAGTCATACAATCCAAGTCAAACTGGGAATCCAAACAACAAAGAGGAGAAATCTTACTGACACAGAAAGAAGTTTGTTGGTGTACCAGTTCTCTTAGGCAGAAAAAAGCAAAAGCTTATCTTGTAAAACTACATCTTCCAGGATTCCATTGCACTGAGCCATGGCAGTTAAAGTGGTAACAAACTGCGAAAATTCTACAGCATAGATATCAGTTCTCCAGCATCTTCTATTATGGTATATGCAATGGCATCAGTTTGGGAAACACAACTAGAGAAAAACTGGGAGCAGTGTTGTAACAGACTCACAGGGCAGTCTTGGAGAACTCGTTTCTCCTCATATTCATGTTACTTTGAGGAGCAGCAAAGTTATATCATGTCCCTCAGGTTTTTAACTTCTACATTAAAATAGTCAAAGTATGGCCTTCAGTGCCATCTTGTCATCACTGGCTTCTTCAAATTGCTTGTTAAATAGGTTGTACTACCACCCAATATAAAAAAATCAAAAAACAAGGACCTTCATTGAATCTTAGAAAAAACTTCCTGATAGTGAGAAAGCTTTGGCAATGGAACCAAGTGCCTTCAGAGATGGTGGGGTTTCTTTCTCTGGACATCTTCAAAAGGAGGATGGGTGATTATCTGATAGGGATGATGTAGGATAATTTTTTGCATGGAGCAAAGGGTTGGGCGGGATGAGAACTTAATGGGGTCCATTCTCGCACTATGACTCTATGAATCTGGCATCTTTTAGTGGCTGCGGACATTTTGGTCCAAAACATATATTATGTGATGAGATTGCAGACAGTCTGTGGAGTCCCCAGATATACCCAACTCCTGCTTTTGACTGTTAGGATATCAGTCAATTTGTATTCTTATTACAAGGCAAGAGTGTTAAGAGGTCAACTTTGATATGATTTTAGGCTATACTGATATTGAACAGTGTATGATTACATCTCCCTTTCTATACATTTTTGAGAATGAAGCAATACAATTTGTGAACATTTTTAAAAATCTAATTTTCCAAATTATGAAATTTTTATAAAGTACATTTGGGTCATTTTATAATTTTTCCTCTAATCATCTACCAATTGAGATTACAAATCCAAATGTCATCTCACAAGGCAAATGGGCTGTGAAATGCATCTTTTAAGTGCCTCAGGTAATTTATTGCTAATTAACTTATATGTCACCTATTGAAGAGGTTTCAGGGAGATCAAAGCCAACATTCCTGCTGAAGTTGCATGCAAAAGTCTCAAATTAGGGGAAGAAATGTGAAATATGTAAAGCATATGCAGCACGTGATCTGCATCTCTTTGCTTTTCAATAAATGAAAACGTTCCTTTGAAAAATACTTTATTGATTGACACTGATGTAGAGTCTGAGCAGTAATAAAAAAACGATATCAAGAAAAATATTCAGAAGGGCAATCCATTTCAAGAAGCTGGATCAGATTTCCTATGGGTAATGTGATTATTATCCTTCTTTTTAAAATGAGTTAGAGAGCCTTTGGACAGAATTCATTTTAGCTTTTTTAAAAAGAAAGGGCATATTTTGAAAAGAGCTGTACTTCCACTTCCATAACAAAATGTCGGTTGAGATACAGAATGAAGAAAGGAAAATTGTTGTCACTGTTAAGGTAATCAATTGTTGTTAAAGTTACTAGGTCCCCCAAAGTTTTTGGGTATTGGTATATTTCCAATTTTAGAAAAGTAAATAATTTCATTATGTGAAAGGAACTAAATAGTAATGATAAGTTTAGAATACTACAGTCCTCTAACCTATGATGGAAAATACACCGATAATAATAATAATAATAATAATAATAATAATAATAATAATAATTATAGGTGCAGTGCCTAAAGACCTTGGCCTGCACTTAAACACAATCGGCGCTGACAAAATTACCATCTGCCAGCTGCAGAAGACCACCTTACTGGGATCTGCACGCATTATTCGCCGATACATCACACAATCCTAGACACTTGGGAAGTGTCCGACGTGTGATCCAATTCAACAGCCAACAGAATGTCTGCTGTGGACTCATCTTGTTATGCTTCAAATAATAATTTTATTTCTTACTGCCTCACCTTGTGGCTCAAGGCAGATTACAGTATAATTAAAACACATAAATGTATTGTCGAAGGCTTTCATGGCTGGAATCACTCAGTTCTTGTGGGTTTTTTCGGGCTACATGGCCATGTTCTAGAGGCATTTCTCCTGACGTTTCACCTGCATCTATGGCAAGCATCCTCAGAGGTGACCTCACCTCTGAGGATGCTTGCCATAGATGCAGGCAAAACGTCAGGAGAAATGCCTCTAGAACATGGCCATATAGCCCGAAAAAACCCACAAGAACCAAAACACATAAACATTATAAGAATACCACAGAATACATATTAAAATGTATTTCTATAAAATACACAAAATGTAGATTAAACAAAGGACACGTGTTTAAAATTCATGTTTAAAAACTCTCTAGGTAGGCCTGCTGGAAGAAGATAGGTCTTTAGTTGTCATTACTCTTCTGGCAGGTCACTCCATAGTCATGGGGAAGCTGATGAAAATGTCCTCTGAGTGACAGCCGTCTGTAAGTTCTGGTAACCACCCTCTAGGGGATCTCAGTGTGTGGGCGGATTGTATGGGAGAAGGTGATCCTTTAGGTAACCTGGACCCAAACAATGTAGAGCTTTAAAGGTCAAAACCAACACCTTGTACTTTGGCCAGAAACTAATTGGCAGCCAGTGGAGTGACTTTAGGATAGGTGTGATGGGCTCACTCCTAGATATTCCTGTAACCAATCTGGCTGCCATAGTTTGAACCAACTGGAGTTTCAGAACTTGGTACAAGGGTAGCCCATTGTAAAGTACATTGTAGAAATCCAACCTTGAGGTTACCAGTGCATATTTATTTATTTATTTATTATTTACTTTATTTGTATACCGCTGTTCTCAGCCCTTAGGCCATACACTGCCATCTTCAGTTCCAGTCATGATGGACAAGGATCAAGAAAGCAGGTTGTCCTTACTTGTTCCAGCAGCTTGTCCACATCAACAGTATTCACCAATTGAAACTGATCCAGTGTAATCCCACTCACAGAGTTGTCATGGATACCATGAACTCTCGAGCTGCACCTGACAAACTCGCCTCCAGTGGTATGTTGAAGTTACCCAGAAGCAAATGTCTGGGTGACTCCAACAACACCTCTGAAACCAGTTATGTGCGATAAGCCAGGGAGTCTATTAGGCAATGGGGTGGATTGTACACTAACAGAACCCCATATTTTCCTGGTTTTCAGACTCAGGTACACACACTCAATGTGGTTCAGCTTCCTAGTAGTTAATCTGGTCAGGTTAAGATGTTTGTTATAGATGACAGCTACCCCACCCCTTCCCACTTCTCCTCACCAGCTCACTGACATAGTACTCAGCTGGGAGTGCTTGGGCCCAGGTTGGAGCATTATCATCTCCCAGCCAGGTTTCAGTGAAGCATGCCAGGTAAGCCTCTTCACATTTGAGGTGATCATAGATGATATGTGTCTTATTTTTGATTTACCTGGCATTATTTAAGAGCAAGGTGAGATTAGGTGGGTTGCCTGGCTCACTCTCCAAGTTCCCCAGACTGGCAGGGTGACTGGAAGGTGGGATAGGTATTAAACACCTTTCACTCCTTTCTCTCTGAGGACATGTGACCCTCCCATCACCATATCTCCCTCTGCCCTGAACAACTTGTATTGCCACCCCAGTTTCTGTATACGTTGAATTAAAAACAACAATACAGATACAAACAATCAATAAAAAGCAAAAAAGGAAACAACAAAAGACAAATTATAAGACATAAATAATACAACAACACTTAACACCCAGTCAATCCAGCTGTTTACCTGGTTAGTCCAGCAGAACCCTATTTCCACAAGAGGATGGCCTTTTAGCCATCTAAATGGTTCTGGGTAACCCTCTCACTACTACCCAGTATTTATTTATTTATTTATTTATTTAAAACATTTATATGCCGCCCTTCTCACCCCGAAGGGGACTCGTTTCAGAGCACAACATACAAACAGCAAACATTCAATGCCGGGACATAAATTCATAATATGCATACATAAACATTAAAAACATTAAAATACACTGTTTAAAACCATCTTGATCATCTGCATCTAATCTAATTGGCCTGGTAAGGTTCCCTGCTGGCTCTCTCACCACCAGCTAGTGTATCAGTCCCAGAGTGACCAGTATCCACCCAGTGATCTGATTTTCTACAAAAACAACATCTAACACAGTGGTTCCCAACTTGTGGGTCCCCAGGTGTTTTGGCCTACAACTCCCAGAATTCCCAGCCAGTTTACCAACTGTTAGGATTTCTGGGAGTTGAAGGCCAAAACATCTGGGGACCTATAGGTTGAGAATCACTGATCTAACACATTAAGATAGAAGAAGTCCTTCCAGGCCTTATGAAGTCATCTCTTGTTTCCTCCTTGGAGGTTGTTTGGATCGGCCTGGACTGCAGTCTATTCACAAGTAGCCCAGAAAATAGCAAAGCTGGATGGGATGTTTCAGGCCTCTTCTAGAGTAGTAGTAGCAGTGGTGGCAACAGTAGACTCAAGTCTTGCCAGGCCTTGTGAACTCAGTTTTATACTACTCCCTCCTTGGAGGTTACCAAGTCACACCCAGCTGGGATGGCCTGGGCTGCATTCTACGCACAAGTAGCCCAGAAAACAGCAATGCTGGATGGGATGTTTCATGTCTTTTGTAGAGTAACGGCAGCAGAAGCAGGGAGACAATCCCTTTAACTATAAAGCATAATTTGGAAGAGTTGCTTAACAAGAATTTACCAGTCAGCATGTTCCTAAATGTAAATTTTCTCAGCTCTGAAGAGTTAGTGGTCATCTTATATCATTTTACAGCCACAATGTAAACTAATTATGCTTTAATGATGAAAGGAACCAATGTCAGGTGACTAATTTTTTCAGGTTGTGGCATGAGTACAATGTGGAACAAAATCATTCAAATTGTTTGTTTTTCCCCAGAAATGTGTATTTGCACACACTTTCAAGTTATGGCAACCCAATGAATTTCATTGGGTTTTTTAAGTCAAGGAATACTTACAGGTGGTTTTGCCAATTTCTTCCTCTTAAATATATCAAATGGTACCTGTTGACAGTCTGCTATCCAAGTAGTAAACAGGACCAACGTTGCTTAATCTTTCAAGACCATGACTTTAGGATATTTAGGCCATCCTTTCTTGCTTTCGTTCTATCTATCTCTCTATCTACACACACACACAGTTCTGATTTCTTGGATTTCCATCTGCAAGTCTTTTATTTTTTTTCTATGGAAAAATATCTTCGCCTACAACATTTCTAGGTTCAGAGTCCATATTTTGCCCCTTGAGTGCTACTACTCCTAACACTAATACTTGATTGCCAAATTTGCCTCTGAATTTAAGCAGGATTGGTAGATGAAAAAAAGCCACATTTCTTTCTAGGAACAAGACACATGGAGAGAAAACACTTGTTCTTAGGCACTCCATGCTTTGTGAAACCTCCTAAAATGTCATTGTGCTTTCATTCAGCTCCATTCAAGGCTGAAGCCTACATAAAAAAAGCAGATGTAGATTAGTAAGGTTGGATTAATCTTTCTGGTTTTTAATTTCTCCCTGTATTCAGTTTTCTAAAACTCTCAAGCTCTTTCGTTCTTGCTGAATGGAGAAATCTGTAAATGTTGATAACTTTGTAACAAAAAAAAAATGGATGAACCAAAATTGTCACCCACCTGTAGTAGCCTGAATTCCAGAGGGGAGATGAATATGTTGAAGCTGTCAAAAAAAAATAGAGTTGGCATTATCTTAATTCAGTACCAGAAACGTGATTGAACACAGACAAATTCAAAGCCAGGCTTTAAAGAGCTAAGAACTCAAAATCTTCCACCTGGATAGATACATCTGTCAGTTTCCAATCCCCTCACTAATACTTTCCAAGAAATATGCAATATTCCCTTCAAAAGCCAAACTGGACAAATTTATCACCTATTGTCATTGGTTAAAATGTTGGGGGGGGGGGGTTTGAGGGGGGTGTTTTCAACTACAAAATACAAGTTGAGAATCCCTCATCCAGAATTCAAAAATCTGATAAAATCAAAAAGCCATCATGGGTTGTGAAGATGGTGACATCTCGGCTTTCTGGTGTTTCAATATACACAAACTTTGTTTCATACACAAAGTTATTTGGCCATAGATATTAGGTACATATAGAATGATAAGGAGTTTCATGTTTTCATTTGGGTCCCATTTCATTATGTACACAGAATCATAGAATTGGAAGATACCACATGGGCCATCTAGTCTAACCCCCACCATGCAAATACAGATATCTGCGGGGGAAAAACTGAAATTCTAAATACTTCAGGTCCCATGTATTCAGATAAAGGATACTGAACCTGTAATGAGAAAGGAAAAATTGGAAGGAAATGTGACTTCTAGAAGCATTTCATGGACTACATTTCCTAGAATCCTTCAGAACTCTGGATAGTTCTCAAAATAAAATTCCAATTTTCTGTTACAGCAAAAGGAAAAAAGGCTGTTTTGATGACAACACTGTTTTCTCCACTCGTGGTGGTAATCCATTAAAAGATGTCCCAGCCAAATCTGTCATTTCCAAGTGAAAGCTATAGTGTCTGCATGAGAAGTGGCCCAAAATGAACTTAGCCTAGCATCAAAATGAGCACTAATGGAAATGAATTACAGTATGAAAAGAAGTGAATGAGTAATGCAACACTGTACTCCAGGGCATGAGAAATGGGTAGGAGGAGATGACGAGAAACTAAAAGGAAACTACAGCAGCAACAATTCCCATACAGCCATGTCAGCATTATCAAATGAACCTGCAGAAATCCAGAAGAACAGACCATCCTCCCACTTCACTGTGCCCTGGTTATGATTCAGGATGAGTAATGGAATGTTCCTATTATTCAGACACTAATAAAATTGTGCACTCCTTATTTGTGGTATATATGGAAGAAGAGCCAACACCTCAAGGTAGGGATGTTTCTTTCTATGTGACATGTGACTGAATGGCAGCTTTTCATATTATAGGCCATTATTCTAGATCAGTTCTGCAGAATTCATGCAGTTTGAGATAGGGCCCTTCCACACAGCCACATAACCCAGAATATCAAGGCAGAAAATCTCACAATATCTGCTTTGAACTGGGTTATCTGAGTTCACACTGCCATATATTCCAGTTCAAAGTATAAAATGTGAGATTTTATTCAGCTATGTAGAAGAGGCCTCAATTTTCACTGTCATGGCTCAATGCAGGAAACTAGGTCTTTAGCTTTCTCTGCCAAAAAATGTGGCTACCTCCCAAAGTACAACTGTCAGGATCCCATAGAGTTGATCCGTGGCAGTTAAAGCAGTGCCCAGTTCTCCAGTGTAGATGCGCCATTAGTTATCCAGATTTGACTAAGTAGCGTCTCCTAGCCCAATGTCACTACCACATTCCTGACTTATAGGACATCAGCCAGTATTAGCAAGAGAGGGCTGTTTCCCTGTTGATGCAGGCAGCCAACCAACATCTCCACCCTGATCCCACGATGAATTAGAAGCAGGGTCTCTATCACAATTCATCCTCTTACACCAGAGGAGAAATTGTAGAGGCTGGATGAGAAGTCAGTTTACTGTATTCCAATTAACAGGAGAACATCCTCCTGCCATTTGCAATGTCCACTTATTCCTAACACTATTGAATACATAGGGGTCATGAATACAAATCCCTTATGAATGCATAACTCTAGGTAACTGTGATTATGAATTCTGACTATGGAAGAAAGATACTGCAATGTAGCAGAACAGCTGTTGTGATGTAGTAGAAAGTGGGTTGAGCTTAGGTGAAAGACAGATACTCAAAGCTCTAGATCTTTCCCCTTGATGACACCTGAAACATTCTTAGTATCAGGGACAATGAGAACATTTTTCCACTTCCAATTTTGTTTCTTAACTGCTGGTTTTATAGAAATTGTTAGGAGTCACTGAAACTTGAGATTCAGAATCCAGCAATGTGAAAGCAAAGAAAGAAAAGAGAAAGACTAACTCAGAGAAAACGTTCTGATAGCTAGGGTGCTGAAATTTGGTAAATGAGTCTTCACTTGCCTTCATTTGTGTATTTCAGTTTGTGGTGGACTGGAACCCTATATTGTGTTGGACTGGTGATCAAAATCCCTACCAAGCCATGAAACTCACTCAGGAACACTGTACAATCTCTCTCTCTCTCTCTCTCTCTCTCTCTCAAATACCTGTCCTACCTCACAGCGATGTTGTGAAGATAAACTGAAAGAAGAAGTGTCATGGAAACCACTTTGAGCTCAGTGATAGAAAAGTATATACATTGAACAACTAACCAAGCAATATCATGCTTTGCCCCATACCTCTTTCAACCTTTTTCTTTCCCTGAGCCAACTCTGTCCTCTCCATAACCACCTGCATATACAATAATATAGCTGAGATCCCATGCACACACTTGATCCCACGCATACATTTAAACCATTTCTTAGCCAAAGTTACTTTTTTAGATATGAACTTCCTGAAATGTGAAAATGTTTCCATTAATGTGTCAGAATGCCAGAGGATCACTGATTCTCTTTTTAAAGTGGCTTCACTGAGGAATTCTGAGAACTGAAACTCAAAACCACCTTTTCCACATTGTGTTCTACCTTCCTGCTCATTCTCTGAATTTACAATTTCTTGGTGTGATATTCTAGTGTGATTGAGAGAGAATGAGAGAGAGAGATGGGGGAATTTCAGCTTCTTCTGATGATTATTCCTTTACTGATTACCAATCACCATGTGCAATTGTTTGTGACACTACAAGATCTCCAAATTTATTACCTTGCACCTGCTACGAGGGAGCCAAAGATCATGACCTCTGCCTACCAATTAGAGAGTGACAAACACATTTTAAAAAACTTGTATGAGACCATCTGCATCTTCCTGCTATTCCCCTTAATGCACATCAAGGATGGTATATTATCCCTGTCCCACTTGCTAGTAGTTATGAGTGCTGAGACATACACCACATTTCAATTGAACATCATGAAGCATACATGAACCATTTTCCTCCTCCAAGAAAGCTCAGATTTGAATTTTTATCCAAAAGTAAATCAGCTGGGGAATATGGAGTGATGTGCAATTTTCCTGGATGCCCTACTTATTTTGACACAATCACCACAGCTGTTCTGCTTCTCAACTCTAGAATCTTGCTCTGTGTTTTTTTCCCTGAACAGGTGTCTGCTTTTCTTTCAAAGGAAAAACATCTAAAAATAAAAAAAAGAAAGTAGAACTGCAGAGAGGAGGAAAAGGGGGTGGACGAGGAGGGGGAAGAGAATATACATATAAAACTTATTTTTCTAATGTGCTTTCTGGTAAAATGATGAAATGTTTTCTATTAAAACAAAATTGCCTCACGTCTAAGAGTCGTGGTGAAAATGAATGAATAGAATGGAATGCTGGATTAATGTTGATATTTAGCAAGTATTATTTCCAGACTTTTTGTAACACAGAAGTTGAAATGGAACTTTCAGAAATGAGCACTGCAATTCTTTGTATTCTGACAGGAGAGAATTATACTATTGAACATTGCAAGACTTACTTTCAAGTAAACAGAGATATACAAAATAAGAATACATGGCAATAATTTTTTTTCAGAGATAGACTATATTAAATAATACCCGAAATCTTATTTATGTGATTAATTTCACATATATAGGTTGTCATCTGTGGTATATGGGGGAAACAAATACAGAGCTGCACAAATATTTTGAGAGCCAGAAGTTTGCAATTCTGACCAGAGAGACAGATCAACCAGAACATTACAGTCTCTGACTTATCCTGGTTTTGTATGGAGGTGCCATCTCCCTCAGTTTTTTTTTTTGGGGGGGGGAAGGAAGGATTTCTGGATTCACAGAACTTAGGATTTAGATGATAATACCACTATCCACCGATGAAATTTCAGAATGCTGCTATAAACTAACATCTCAGATGCAGCTCAGTTTCATCTTAAACAAATGAAGATGACAGAACCAAAATGTTTTGCCCATTTTCCCATTTTTAGTTCTGTTTGTTAATCACACAAACTTGTCAACACACATACATGGTAGATAGAAGATAGATATTCTTCTTGCATCTGTTTTTGATGCCCCAGACCCCTGTAAATCCAGAATGTCATTTGGGTCATTATCAGAGCAACTGTCATCAGCTGTCCTTCACTGAAATTTTAGAGGTCCTGAGGAGGAGATGGATTTCAAAGTAATCCCCACAACCTTTGCTTTGTCTGAGATATCACTGTTCAAAGATGACTATGTTTGTCTTATGTAAATGAACAACTTTTGCCAATTGCCTTCCATTTATCTGAAGAACTCATCCATTTCTTAGAAGTGCCAACTAACTCCTCTAGCAAAATGACTGAGTAGAATTAAAAAGAAGAGAAATCCTGTTTACCTCCATCTGCATATTAAGTGGATTTTAGCTTCAGGAGCAGTTAGTTTTACCTACCCATGGGAATCTTGTTAATATTGGCTGAACACAAATTGGCACCTGATGACACTAAGTCCTATTGAGAAGTGAATGGAGCTGCTCCCTGACCTAGCATACTTTTTAGAAAAAAGAACAGGCTAGGATCTATTGTATTTTGAAAGTTTCGAGTCTTAACTGTGAAATGAATCCTTGTTTGATTATATTGCTCCATAGTTGAGCAATTCTATCTGGCTGGAAAGGTAACTTTCAGCTACCAACCCTGCGACACCAAACTTTGCTCCATCTATGAT